TTAAAAATCGTTTTAACCTTTATTAAGATAAAGAAATGAAGAAAAAACAGTTGAAACACTTTGAAATGTAGACTACTAAGTAAGGCTTTCATTTTAAAAACATGCATTCTTCCCTTTAGCTGGAGAGAAATTTTAGAAGGAAAATCCCCCTTGTTTGACATCTCTTAGACTTAAATTGTGATACGCTTCTACCCCGATATAACGCTGTACCTCGGGAGCCAAAAAATACTTACCGCATTATAGGTGAAACCACATTATATTGAACTTGCTTTGATCCGCTGGAGTGCGCAGCCCCCCCCCCCCCTCCCCTGAGTGCTGCTTTACCGCGTTATATCCGAATTTGTGTTATATCGGGGTAGAGGTGTAATTGTCCTTTGAGGAGAAAAAAGAAGTCAGTTGAGAGCTGTTCCAGCTGCTGCTGCTGCTGTTAAAGTCCAGTTGTGTTTCATCTCGGGTGGTGGTTGGGATTTGACGAGCTGATAGAGGTGGTGCTATCATCTGGTTCCCTCTCTCTGGCCTGGTCTGGTCAGGACATCTTTCAGGATCAGAATGATAAAGGCTTAGGGTCCCAGGAGACGGCAGGGGTGGCAACCATGATATGAAGTTTGCTCCACTAGCCAATTTTTCCCCCAAAATTTCTTTCTTTAAGGACCCCAAAAGGTAGTGGTGGGCGGATAGCTCTTCCTGCATTATTTTGTCCAACAATTAGGCCTAGTTTCTGATGTACCAATTTTGGTTCACATTTCTCATGTTTTCCAAGTTTGATCATAACACAGTCCTTGAGTTAAATCAGTAGGCCTTTTTATTTGGATTAATTCAGTCTTTCTGTCTCCTTTTTATGCCTTTTCCCATGAACAATTGTTGTTACAGGTTATTGTGATATTTTATGAACTTTCACATAGTTTTTACAATTGAGCTCACAATTAGGGTAGATTTGTAGGCTCAATTATTACAACAGACTTTCGGAGAAAAATTCACAACTATGCCTCAGGGCAATTTATAACCAGTTACAGATCTGTTTACAGATCCAGACTAACACAGCTACCCCTCTCATACAGTTAAATAATGGTATTATTGCTGGAAGAGGACAATTACTACAGGGTTTATATAAGGGTTTATGTACGTTTTACAGTTAGCCATCATAAATATAACATAAGCAAAGAGGTTATTTTCTTCTATTAAATGTTTTGCAGGTTTGAATATCCTCCTCAATCAACTCCAAGAAAGAGACTTTCTAGAACTCCAAAAAATGAAACCCTACAGGTAATTTTAAGGCCACTGACTACATTTGCTGAACATATGCATGGTGTCATCTGTCGTGTCATATTAGTATTGGTTTGGTGATTTATCTTCCCCTCCCTATTAGCTTGGCATCACACACTAATCCAGTGATTGAAACTGTGAAGAAACTCTTGAGAAATATTGTTTTCTTACTATTTACTAATCCATATTGGCTTGTGTCAGTTTTCAGCAGTGTAAATATTTAACTATAATACTCTAAATTTAGCATCAGAACTAAGGATTATTTTTTAAAAACAGTTTGGCTGTTTTAAGAGAGGACAGGGTACAGGGGTATTGAGACATTTGAGATCCTTGTACCTTAATTTTTACATTTTAAGAATTACAGGAGTAAATCATAGCTGTACATCCCAAAGTATTTCTAGTGTTCCTGCTTTCAATATAATCTTATTCTGAATAGCAGTAGATAAGTAATGCAGTGTAGTTAATGACGTGTCCCTGGCCAATGACAGTCTAAAGGAATTAAGTTAGCAAAACTGGGAAGCTTGTCCTCAAGACTGTGAACAGCCTCTTTTAGAAAATAATCTGTGATTGTTATTCCATATGCCCATTACATTAAGATAATGTTGAAGTCTCTCTAATGATTGATCAAAGCATAACATTTTAAATTTTATCTTCACGACTAGCAGGTTTTGTTAACCTTTTCTTTTACAGTCTCTTGCCCATATTATTAAAATACTTGTTGAAATGAATATCTTGTAGGGATATTGTTAATCAACCGATTGTCGTGAACATTGAAACACTTATGTAGGCTGCAATTTTTATATTTAAACTACTAGCTGAAAGCCCATATTGTCACATCGGTGTTGTAGTTGGGCCAAGTAATCCATTATCTGTGCAGTGTCCTGCATACACCTAATGAAATAGTTGCATGCAAATTAGCTGTGGAATAAGGGTGGTGATTGTTACCTCTGATATCACAATGATCTAGGACTTAGCATGGGATAAGTATATGCCCACTGTACCTGAAAGCTTGTGCTGTCGCACAGATGTAATTCATAAAGTCAAAATTGCTGAGAACTTAAATTGACCACAAATGCCAGTGATGATTGAACTTGATATTCTAAACAAAGAACTCTCAATCATGCTTGTCGTTGTTTCCGATGCTTCATGCTGGCTCAACAGACATTCTAGGCTTTACGGTGACAATCCTGGCATCTTATTATATTGATGAGCAGGCTGCCCTGAAGTCTAATAAGCATATCATATCAGTTTTGTTCAGTTATCAGAATTTAGCTGTAATGCATGCTTAGACTACAGAGTCTTTTGGAATTAATGACTATTCCAAAAATAAGACAAACTATAAAACTGTCTTCAAGAGCCTCAGATGTCTTACTCAAGTAGCAACCTGTGTGACCAACTTCAAATACTGTACAATTTCATATAATGTGTGGATTTAAATTTGTTTTGTAAGCCTGGTGCTCAATTAAAATTTGTCTTGGTTATGAAGAGAGGCCAAATTCTGTAATCTTCTGAAAATGTAGAGTAGAAAACTGTATTTGTGATAAAAATATATGTTGCTTTATTATAACACTGTACAAATTTACAGGTTCTTCATGTTCAGCAGGTGGCAGAAGTGGAATTACAGAGCCCAACATCTAAAAGTCCTCATACGTCTGGTTGGTAGTTGTTTCATGTAGTTTGCTTTTTTCAATATTATATAGTCACATTTTATTCTTAGCATGCTTGCAAAAAGAAGATGGGAAAATGTCTAAAGATTCATTTTACAAGTCAATCTGTTACCTCAGTTGAACTTTTATTTGAATGTTATCTAATAGATAATTAGATTTTGCAGACCAAATGCTGCCTTTCAGTGCATTACAGAAGTATAGTTGAGGACAAAATTAACCACTGCAATTAACATTTTACTAATTCAGTTGATGTCTGAGGTAGAAAAGAATCATTACTCTCCACAGCAAATGTTATATCTGCTCTTGAGTGCTAATAGGAAGAGAAAATTTAAAAAAGAAATTGATGGCTTTTCGGAATAGAATTGCACATTTTAGCCCATACGTCTATGTGTAGTCTAGGCCTTTCCTTAAATTCTCCGCCACAAGTGCAGCTCCACTAGTATTGTGCAAATGCAGAGGTGCTTTCTACCCTAGTATTTAACCCTGAGCAAGTCTACAGAATACAGTGATTCAAAATCTGTGCTAGCATTGCTATCTTTTCTCACCAGCAGTAGATCTGCAGTAGATGGAGAAATAGAGGCTTTATCTACACTAGGACCAGTTGACTGATGTACTCAGTCAGTGGGAAGTGCCCATTCATCCACACAGATTTGCTACAATGGCTTTTTCAGAGAGGGTCAATCAATGCACGTTATCCCCATACCAAGTAGGAGTCAGACTCAACTGATGTTAGCACAATAGATTAAATACCTATTGTGGACACATCCTGCTATAATGGTAACACTGTCACCACAAAAGGTCTTCCCACTACTGACCCATAATGCAACAGTCTCTCCTGAAGCGTCCCGTCTCTTCATATCAACACCTGTTTTCATAGTCCAAAGTCTAGGGGTCATCTTGTCCACAATCTGCCTACCCCATACTAATAATACTATACTACATTCTGCATGGTGCTCAGTTTGAGCTATTTTCATCGCAAAATGTTCTTTTTTCCCCCAAAAAAAGATTTTATAGAAAAGCTGTTAATGCTTCAGCATGGTCCTTTGAGAGATCCTGCACCATCATTTTTCTGTGGGGTGAGGAACTTGTCCAATCACAACAGGGAAGTCACAAAGTATACCAGCATTTGTCAGCAGCCATCCAAGCTGGCCTCAAGCAATGCTGAGACAAGAGGAAGGACCTCAGTGGCAGTTGCCACAATCATGCGTCACAGAATCAGTGTAGATGCCAGATGTTAATTTACCATGGTAGTTCTGTATCAGTTTAAACAAACTTATTTGGAGTTTTAACAATCAAGTTCATCCAACTAATTTGAAATTACCATCCATTCACCTGTCTAATGTAGACAAAATCCTAAGAGGCCTGTGTGAACCATTGTGATTCAGTCATTGATTCTGCAGATAGAGAATATTTCTGAGGTATGAACTACTGTATCTCAATGTGAGGCTAATTCAAAGTCTAAATACAATTTAAATATCGGCATAAACAATTTAACTACTGATGAATGTATAAGAAAAATTCAAATTGGATTGTGAACAGAGCTTGACTAGTGGGCAAAACTTTAGTGCTGATATTTTATCCCAGTGTAACCCTGATTGGTGTTGCTGCTTCTTTATTCAAAAGAGCAAATCTTGTCCAAGGACAAAATCTGTTTTTCTACCCATTTAATAACAGTCCTCCAGTTTTAAAATAAATATATATGTATAAGGTTCTTTTTATCCTTTATTACTATCTAGATAAAAACATAGAATGTGAAGGCCAAAATTTTGGTGAAAATGACAAGCAAAGCACTGAGGAAGATATTTCCAGAGTTGTACCAGCCAAACAACATGCAACACCTAAATCAACATACAGAACAGCTAAATCTAACAGAAGAGAAAATGAGATGTCTCCTTTTAGCAAACTTTATGAATTGTTGAAAAATGAGATTGATGTGAAAACACAGAAAGATGGCAACGAAGAGATACCTATGCCACGACAAGCAGGTGATATATTTAAAAAAAAAAGAAGATGGTGATATAATGTTGATGGACACTGTAGGAATTATTATTATTTATGCAGGATATTAGAACAACACTAATTTAACCATAGAGTCCTTTATTAAATCCAAAGACCACATGGAATTTATACTATTGCTCTAAACAGGCCTACGAAGTCTAAATAATAAACAATTTACTATATCCAAAGAGTAACAAAACATTTATAAGCATTTGATCAAACAGGCTAAATCCAGACTCATATTTGTCCGCTCCAACATTATCAGGCAGGTAGTAGCTGAGTTTACTTTTTTTATACACTTTAAAAAAACAGTCATGTCATTCCCAAACTAAACACCAATTTGAGACAGTTTGCCTTTATTTCCAATCTTAATCTAGATGAGATTTACAACCTCCTTTTCCCCCAAGGTTTTTCTTCCCTATCTCTTCCCCTCCTTGCTGACCAACAGTTTTTCCTTTGCATCATGGACCCTAATTTTTGAGATAACACTGGTATGTTGGGTAGAAGGTCCATGTTGGATCTTTTGTTTAAAACGATCTGTAGAGGCCTTCTTTTTAGAAACATACCCTTTTTTCGTTAGTTATTCTTTTAACCAGACATCCTCCCTACTTCATTTTTTCTGGCTTTATATAACTCATTACTTTCCAAGCCTTTCTTTTACTTGCTAGTTAGGGCCTTTCTTTACAACATATTTCTTTAACCAAATGTAAAATAACTTCTGTTTTCTACTTTTATATTTATTCTACAGAGACTAATGCCCAGCAAATTTCATTATTGGTATTTCCATCTGGTCAAGAGACCCAAACTAAGGAAAAAGAGACAATAATTGGTGAAGATATTGAACAGTCTAAAGTTAAAGAACAAGAAATAAACAATGTGGAACTTAATCAGATTTCTACTGAAGGAAATAGTTCTAAGAAGACCAATGAATTAAGTTCTGCAAATTCAGGTGAACCACGGACTGGACAAGATTCATCATTAGGAGTTAAAGCAACAGAAATTTCAAATGAAATTCAAAAGAAAGATGTAGTGTGCAGTAGTGTTGGTGGGAATGAATCATGCATTTTTGGAAAAAGTAATAAATATTCAAAGCAAAGGAGAAATAGTAAACAGCTTACACCAAGAAAATCCTTAAATGCAGAAGAAGTGCTAAAAGAAATTCATTATGAGACTTCCTCAGTTAGCGTAACTAAGGAGAGAGATTCTGAAACTTTTGCATTTTCTCCTGGGTATAGTAATTCCAAAAGCCCCAAAGGGAGTGTTAGACAAAGTAAAAAAAATTCAAATAAAAGTCCATTATCAGAGTTATTAACTCCAGAAAGGTTAACACCGAAAGATGAATCTTCTGCTAGCCGTAAACATCACTCTGGAGCGCGAAGGGGAAGACGAATGAGCTCTGGAAAGATGGCTGAAGAAACATTGGAGAGAGATCCATCTCAAGAACATTACAAGAATGTAGATATTAAAGGTAGTGATGTTAAAGAAAAGCTGACCACAGAGAACTACCAACAGAAATTAGAGGTGGAAGATGCTAATATTGTCCTGGGACCTCACAGGTTGTCATCAAAAAGAAGGTGCTCTGAAAGTGTTGTACTTCTGAGAGATGATGAAGTTGCATCAGAAATAAATATTTCTAGCCTACCTACTGAAGACAAAAAGTCAGGTAAATACTTTGTATGGTTAGGAGCTATATTTTTAAATTTATTTGGGAGAGACTATCATGTTTTATGTAAGTGAATGTTTTTTTTTTTTTTTTGCTGCACATCTATCCTTAAGTATTGTATATGTAATTATGGCTAACCATAATAAAGACATTGAAATTGTTTGAGAAAATGTGAATGTAACTACATCTATTGAATTAATTGTGCAAAAACTAAGTTACAAGGATTTGTGCTCATTAAATGTGGCTTGAAATGTGCTTCAGACTTTAAAATGAGTAAAAATTAATTTCTAATTTATATGTTGTAATGTTTTTTGACTCTTCATATATATGAAGAAATTTTTTAATTGTAATTTTTAAAAGGTGAGACAAAGAGGTTACCTCAAAAGCGGAAAAGTAGAGAGATTGAGTTGCTACATCAGCCTCTTGGGAAAAGAAAGAGAGTGTCCTTTGGTGGTCATCTCAGTCCTGAACTTTTTGATAAAAGTCTACCACCCAATTCACCACTTAGAAGAGGTGCAATTCCAGCAAGGTTAAGCTTACCATTTGGAAATTCACCTCGTGCGGTTCTGAAGAAGGGACAGGGATTCAAACGTCTTGTAATCAAGGTAAACTTTAAAGATGAAAATTTAAACATTACCAAGGAAACAAAATAGAAATTTTAAGTTTGAAAATTACAGAAAAGGCATACATGAGGTAATATAGATACTGTACCTTCAGCTTTAGATGGTATTTAAATAAAGCTATTTCCAGTGTAGCTAGCAGTTCAGTATTTTTGAACTCCCATGTTTGAAGGCCAGCTCATCAGTGTCTTATTTGAGATTGTATTTTTACTATAAATTACATATTAACTGGAATTGACATTTATTGGGAAACTATTGCAATTTGGACTGAAAATTGACTAAAAAAATAAAATGCCTGAAGCTACAAAATAACAAAATTGTAGCCTGAAAATGTTTATCCATTGCTTCCACCAACTTGCGAATTAAATTTAGTAAAACATTAAGTTTGACACATCTAACACAACTGTTTAAAATTGAAATTTTAACCTACATTTAGGTAAAAATGATTTACTTCAGTTCTCATTTCTTATCCTTTTTACAGCTATTTTGAAATGAAAATGTTAAACATCTTTTTAATTTCCAAGTTTTATTTTACATGAGTAAAACAGTTTCTTTCAGTTAATTTGATATGTTGAGCATGTGCTTTTCAGAATTAGGTTAGAATTTGTATTTCTACTTTGTGAGAGAGCTTTTTTTTAATCCTATCAGGATCTTTCAGAGCATTTGCAGAGACAAAAATCATCACAAAAAAACTTGCCTGCCAGGAGGTCCCCGGCTGCCTCGTCGCCTGCCAGGAGGTCCCCGGCTGCCTCGTCGCCTGCCAGGAGGTCCCCGGCTGCCTCGTCGCCTGCCAGGAGGTCCCCGGCTGCCTCGTCGCCTGCCAGGAGGTCCCCGGCTGCCTCGCCGCCTGCCAGGAGGTCCCTGGCTGCCTCGCCGCCTGCCCTTGAAAAAATGTCACCTAAGCTCACTGCAAACTCCCCATCAAATACACCATTCACAAAAGGACGTTTCTCTATTTCTCACATTAGCACACCATCTCCTACTTCAAAGGAGCAGGGTACTGCTGCAACAGAAGTTAAGGAAAGTGATGGAGATTTTACTGGAGTCAAGACACCTGAATCTTTTCATATTAACCAGGAACATCAGATTTCTGTGCCAACTACACCTAAACAATTAATAAGGCGTAGTATAAGATTTTCTGTGAAGAGAACTCCCATGAAGAGGAGGAGTGATGCTGTGGAAACAATTCATTCTAAAAGAAGAAGTGGTGCTTCTAAAGCCAATTTGCTAGGTTTGTTTAAGTGTTGATTTTGGAGACTATTAGTGCTTCTTTAAAAACTGAACAGAAGCCATTAACTCATGCATATGCATTATGATATTCTTTAATTACATAATCACATACCATATTTTCTACATGACCCCTCCTAGGGATGTAAACAGTTAACCAGTAAGCATTAGGCTTCCCGGTTAACCAAAGTTTATCATTGATACCAGTGGCCCCATGTTGGACCGGCGAGAGGGACCCCAGCCCTGATCGGGCCGGAGCGGCACCAGCCCTGGCCATGCCAGCGGGCTCATGGCTATGCCACACCAGTCAGTGGGAGCCCAGCTCCGGTCATGCCAGACCCCCCCAGCTACCTCAGTTAACAATTAACTGGTTAACCGAAATAATTTTAATTGTTTAACTGGTTAACTTTTTTAACCGATATTTACATCCCTAACCCCTACCTTTTTCAGTGCACAGGATGAATTTAATCCTCGTCATTCAGTATGTGATGCTATGTGTTGTTTTCTTTACATCCAAACCTTGCACTGAACATAGCTTTGAAGAGTTTAAAGCTGGAAAGGACCATTAGATTATCTAGCTTGCCCTCCTGTATATAACAGGCCATTAAATTTCACCCAGTTATCTCTGTATTGAGCCCAATAACTTGTTTGACTAAAGCACAACTTCCAGAAAGGCATCCAGATTTGATTCAAAGACCTCAAGAGTTGGAGAAACCACCACTTTCTTTGGTAGTTCATTCCAATGGTTAATAACCCTCATTAGTAAAAATGTGTGCCTTAAATTTGTCTGGCTTCAGCTTCTAGCCACTGGTGGCTCTTATACATTTCTCTGCTGGATGAGAGCCCTTTAGTATCTGGTATTTTCTCCTAGTGAAAGGTACGTATGCACTATAATCAAGTAATCTCTCAACTTTTTTTTTAATTAACTAAACGTATTGAGCTCTTTGAGTCTCTCATTGTAAGGCTTTTTCTCCAGTCCTCAAATAATTTTTGGGGGTTTTTGTGCATACTCTCAATTTTCCAAGATCCTTTGTAAAATGTGGACATTGGAACTGTATGCAGTATTCTAGGATCTGTATCATCAGAGGTAAAATCACCTCCCTACTCACTACTCCCCTGCATTGTGTTAGCCTTAGAATAGAATCCATTTCACTAAGGTGACATTGTTGTCTTTAACCACAAGAACATTCTTTCTGTTCCTGCAGTCCCCCTGCTTGGGTCACTACATACTTTCAACTTCTGCAACAAAAGAGGCAGGTGTCCTGCCTCATTCTGTGTATAGTGCTCAGAGAATTAATCAGTTGTCTACAGATGTGTCATAAAAAAAAATTAAAATGATTAAAGTTTTGCAAAATATAAGCAACTGAAAATAGGGTCTTATAATGGAAAGTGTTATACAATCTCAACTATAAGTGTTACTGCCACCTCCACCTGTAATTACCAATCTCTTGAGCAAAGTTCCATTGCAAATGTACTTTAAATATGGGAATTATGAGGAAATAACTCTGGACTGCTGTTTGCACACTTGGGAACTGTTCTCAATCTAATTCTTTTTTTTGCATTCCAGTTGCAAAATCTTGGGCAGAAGTGGTGAAGTTGGGTGTTGCAAGACCACAAGTAAAGGCTGTTAAAAAATGTGTTCTCAAAGGAAAATCAGCCAAGAAGTTAACAAAATCACCAAAGGTATTTTTATTTAAAATAAACCGTACTATTTTCTGAATGCGTAGCCTCATCAGCTTTTAATACATTGTTAGTAGCTAGGTGTGTTTCAAAATCTTCCTTGTCTGCTAAATAGCCTTCGAGCACTGATACACATCTCCCTGATGACTCTAAATATGCTAGATTCCAAATGTTCCTTCTTGATTAGTGAAAGGACAGGGCCAAATTTGCAGCATTTTTCATTGTATTGATATACACCTCTACCCCGATATAATGCTGTCCTCGGGAGCCAAAAAAACTTACCGCGTTATAGGTGAAACCTCGTTATATCGAACTTGCTTTGAGCCGCCGGAGTCTGCAGCCCCACCCCCCCGGAGCACTGCTTTACCGCGTTATATCCGAATTCATGTTATATCAGGCATGTGTGTTAAGTACAGGATTTAATTGAAACGAAAGAATGTGGGGAGGGATAGCTCAGTGGTTTGAGCATTGGCCTGCTAAACCCAGGGTTGTGAGTTCAATCCTTGAGGGGGCTATTTGGGGATTTAGTTGGGGATTGGTCCTGCTTTGAACAGGGGGTTGGCCTAGATGGCCTCCTGAGGTCCCTTCCAACCCTGATATTCTATGATGTGTACCTTTTAAAATATTTTGATATCCACAGTGATGTAGTATTGTTCAGCAGAACTAATGTAAGAGACAAGGTTATCAGTGATCTCAAACTCTTTTATAATGTGGACCATTTCTGAAGATAAAGGTCTTGTGGATCGTCTTCTCTCACACACCCAGTTTTATATTTTCCTGTATCGACAAACTGGAAATGTGGGACTTTAAAGTTATTAGTACAATAAAACCTTAGGTGTTCATTGCTCTAATCTGTCTAAAGTTCTTTGGAATTTAGTCCTGTGTTTGCTACTTCTCCAGTGTAATTGTAGTGAACGGCGAGATGCTTTGTTTATTAAAAGTCCTTTGGAAACGCAAATGTTTCTGGACTGATTATACAGCTCTTGTCACAATTAGTTCATATTACAAAGCAATTTCTGTTAAATGTGCCTTAGTAAAGAAAGCACTATTGCTTCTGTTTTTCTGCCCATTCAGTTGTACAAAGACTATAATATATTGTTTTTTGCCTTATTTTAAGGACTTGATCTTTCCTCAGTTTAAACAAAGTGCTTGGTTTACCTATCTTTCAAGATAAAACTTCTCTTCATTTTCTGCTTACAGTGGTACAGGACAACAGCAGTATTCCGTTCTTGTCCTTCTTCCTTAGTTGGCATTAATATAATACCTTAGTTTGTTTTTGTCCAGCAGACATCAGCTATCATTGAGGGAAGTATATGTGGAAGGGCTAATTAGTCCACTGCGGTGTGTTGAATGGATAATCAATTTTACTTTTACTAATACAATTGAAACTGTGTGAATTTCTAATAAATTTTAATTTTGTCATACTATTTAGAAAATTTTCCTTCAGTTAAGTAGAGTGGTTCCGTATTAGTGTTCTGCAGTAGCATGTTGTAAACACAGTTTGATTCCCAGAATTTGGCTTTTTGTGTCCACAGAAACTGGGAGCCTTTGTCTAAATCTGGGTTGTTGGGCTGTCAGCAGAAAGGAAGGTTGTCACACCTGCAGGGCCAGGAGGGGAAAAGAGGGAGGCAGCTTAACTTTTGTGTTCAGTAAGAAATTAATTATAACAAGCAGTAGAAAATGTTGATTTATTCAGAACTTTTTGAGTTCTTAAATTGTTGTATGCAGAGTTTGCTAGAAGTTGATTACCTTTAGTACGTTGGCATTGCTCTTTGACATATTTCTAGCCAAATTTTACCTTTGAGGTCACCATTAAATGGTTCTCCCATTCTGGGTGCCAAAACATCGATAGAGTAAGTTTTTTCTCTTCCTCCCCATTTCCCAAACTTAACACATGATGGGAAATATAAGGAATAATTATAGCAGAAAAATGAAAATAGAGCCTTTCAAAAATTTGTTTTAATCTTAAAAAGCTTTGTGATTTTTTTTTCATTGCTTTGTATCCAATAAAACATGTTGATTTGCAATTAGATGTAGCCTTTACACCAGTGGTTCTCAACATATTACACATTGTGGGCTGCATAAACGGCCCAGAATGTGTGACCTGGCAGGGCAGAGGAATCCGGGACCCTGAATCCTGGACCCCTGCCGTGCGGGCTGCCACCCCTGGCCGGTTGCCCCCACCCATGCAGCTGCCCCGACCCCAGGACCCCTGCCATGCGGGGCGGGCCTGGAGCCTGCAGGGCGGGCTAGTGTCCCCAGGTTCCCACGGGGCCAGCTGGCTGTCCCAGATCCCAGGACCCCCGCCACGTGGGTCAGGCCAGCCGCCTGCCCCAGTCCCCTGCTGCAGGGCTGCCCAGGCCCCTGGGGCTGAGCAGCTATCCTGGACCTCGGGGACTGCAGGTCCAGGTGGGAGCTGACCCCCTTGTACTAGGCAGTGCGGCAGCCCAGACCCCTCCCCCCTGGGCAGCTGGGACATTGTGACCCCAGACACACCTGCAGCCTTTAGCATGCAGTTGTGTGCTAATTGGGCCACATGCGAGGTGTGAGTTGAGAACTGCTGCTTTACACTGTATTTCAAGAATACTTGTGATATTTCAAGCTCTATTTGGATGGAAATTCAATTAAAAATGCACAAAACCAGTATTTTAAAATTGTTTTTAGAAGTACAGTATAACTACCTTTCACGTGCTGGAATACATAAGAAAAGAGTTTTGTCAAAACATGTTTTGCTTTTAAAACTAACCGATAAATTATTATCTATAGTTAGTGAATTGAACTGATTGATTCTGGTCAATGTGTGCTTCAAGATCATCCATTCACACCAAGATTTTATTCATAGATTGGAAGAGGAAAACAAGTTTTCCTGCTTTTTTCATCTCCCAATTGGTTTCTTAGTTTTGCATGAACTATTCATTGAACTGAAGTGAAGAAAACTTTGTCTCTGTCTGCAGAAGAGACAACTGCTATCAAGAGCTGGTTTAGTACATCAACAAACTCTGGTTCTAGGTTTACTGTATTTTGAAAAATAAACCTGAATTTCATTTAATTAAAAAAACCAATTTAAACTAAAAATCCATTTTTTAAAAATGAACATTGGTTCTGACTTTGGTCTGATCTGTGAACAAAATGTACACTGATTTAACTAAAATACATTTTTAAATGTAAACCAGTCTAAGGTTTGCACCAGTTCAACTTAACAGACTTAAAACTTTTAGTAACACTGGTACAGGTTTGTGTGTGGATCTTATGCTGTTTTGGTTATTACAATAAATTCTCATTTACTGAGCAACTCTGTTTTTCTTTCTACAGACTCCAGCAAGAAAAGTAAAGGGTCATTTTAGTACAGGTCATGCAGATTCTCCAGCTACAATAGTGATAGGAAGAGCTCATACCACCAGAGTGAAGCTGGTTGGACAGGCCCCTAGAGTGGTCAAGAATTGTGCTTTGAAACAAAACATGGATATAAATGAAAGTTTCACAGGTAATTTGCACACTCTTTAAAATTAAGCCACATAATTCTTGCCTTATTTCACTTTATGTTGGTTGATAAAAGCAGTTTCCACTTAATACAGCCTATCATGTAACTTGGAACATGTTAATCTCCTTTACGTAGGAGAAAATACTTTTATGTACTGCGGGGACCATAACTTTAATTTTTTTCAGCCTTGAGTTTAAGATCTCAACTTGAACTTTGTATTAGGAGGGTTTGTATTTAATTTCAACTTCTTGAAAATGAGCGAACTTTGTCAAGGTCATCGCTGTCAAAGTCACTACCTTCTAGGTCCTTCCATTGTTTTCACCCTCTTCTGCTGCATCAAATACAAACTTCCTGTTCTACCCTTCAAAGCTGAACACAGTTAAGCTCTGCAGTCTCTCTCCTTCTTAATCCAAGGTTGACTGCTCTCTTAACTCCACCAATGATGCTAGAGTTTCCGTTGCCTGGTTTTCTACTTTTTTTTACACTAGTGCCTTTATGCTTTCTCCCATACTGCACTTGCACATGGGGAAAACTGCCAGTCAAATCTGTAAAACTACCACTTTCTCTTAGTGTCTTAAATCTCACCTATATTGTAATGAGTAAGGCTACATTTTAGTCACAGGTATTTTTAGTAAAAGGCATCAGCAGGTCACTGTCAGTAAACAAAAATTCGTTGTCCATGATCTGTGCTAAATAACCCTGACTAAATCTTGGGTGCTCTGGGGTAGGGGGCGGCGGTGTGTGGCCCAGGACCCCTGCTGATGCTGCGGGAGGGGGAGGGGCGCGGTGCACATGGTGACCCAAGATCCCCACTGTGGGGGGAGGTGGAGGGTGGTGGCCCAAGCTGCTGAGGTGGCCCCAAGGCCAGACACACCAACTGCTGCAGAAGTCCCAGAGGTCCCGAAAAGTTAAAGAATCCGTGACTTCCATGACAGACTCACAGCCTTAGTAATGAGTACTGAAAATTGCCATATAACAACTGGCATGTAGTAAGTAAGCTGTGATTACTGCTACTGATTAGTATAATTTTTAGCCAATCAGTACTAAAACATTTTATTTTGTTAATTTATCCTCTTACTTCCTCTCCAACTGGGATCACTTTTTTTTTTAATGCACCTGTTATGTTTTGGTGTCTAGATAGTAAGTTCTTTGGAGGTGGACTTTCATGTACTATCTTTGTGCAGTGCCTAGCACAACTGGACCCAAACTATGTTTTGGCATCTGACAGCTGCTGCAGTGTAAATGTTATTTGAGTGGTATCTCAATCAAATATTATTTTAATGTATAGATGTAATTATTTCAATTTGTGATGCTCCGTACATGCATAGAATCATAAAAGAGACATCAAGAGGTCATTTAGACCAATCCCCTGCTCAAAGCAGGACCAACATCAACTAAATCATCCCAGCATGTGTGCCTTCTGTATATCTGGAGCACAGTTGTGTATACAAATTGGGCCATCGCACCTTGATGCATCAGTAAAGTATGTCTCTAGATAAAGCTTATATAGTTTAGTATAGTAGTGTTTCATTGTTTTACATATAAAAAGAATTACATTCAATTTATTTAAAATGAAGGTGGTGAAAAATTTAAAAGCAGGATGTGTAGCTAACAGCAGAAAAATGTTAAACATTATATTTGGATGTCTTGCTGTATAAAATGCTGTGTGTCCACTTTCTCTTTGTGGTCAGTTTAGAGCTTCTCACAGGGAATTATCAATATCTCTTGAATTGAATCTGACTCACACACATACCTACACATACACACACCTTTTGTGCAGTGCTTACACATGTACGTGTTAGTTTGCAGACAATTTCTACTAATCAGTACTGCTGTACTACATCCTTATTATTCTAGATTTGGGTTTTTTAGTCTTTTTTAAATCAGGGAAATTCAATCAGGGATGAAACTACTAACCTGACTTTAACTTATGACATAACACATTTCCAGAGGTGACTCGAACAATCAGTGTATTAACATATTATACCACTTGTTATAATGCCTCTACTGGGAAACAAAGGCATAGACGTGAAGTCATGTATGATTATCTGCCCTTAATGTTACATTGTGTGGTGTACTATTTGAAGAAAGGAACTAAGTCACAACGCTTCATTTTATTCTTTGTTCTGCCAACTGTATAACTGTTTTGTAAATCAAAGGATATGCTAATTACTTTAAACATAATTAATAGGAATGACTGAGATGTTTAGAACTCCAGTAAATGAAAATCAAAAAAGTCCATCTTTATCTGCTGCTCACAAGACTGATCTTACACCATCATATGCTGAAGTAGAAGGCTCTGAGGTACACACTCCAGAGGAGTCTGGTATGTTTGTTTCTTTTTAATAGCCCTGTGGAAAGGGAGTGAGGGTTTATGGATTGCATATAAGAAAAGCAGACTAGTGCTACTAACCTGGATCTCTGAAGCTAAGCTTAGTCAATTATTGGTTTTGTTTGAACCTATGTAAACTTAGTGTAGAGTGAGAATGGGGCAGGTGGCAGTTTGAGATAATTCTGAGATAGGTGGTTGAATGCTGCTTTCTAACTTAAAAGATGTATTTGTAGTCCCAACTATTTCTGAACTGGAATGATGCATTTCATTAAATGGTTGTGTCCCATGGAGTATGGTGCTTTCAGAATGTTGACGCATGTATGATTGTACAAAATGGGTTTAAAGCATTGAAGAGTTGGTATGCTTCAACAAAATGCAGTGAATTGTTGTATGCAGACACAACTAAGCCCAATGCTTGTGTTTTAAGATAGGGCGAGGGTGGTGTTCATGGAAAAGGTGAGGACCAGAATGAGAAATCAAAGGCCATCCAGGGTGGAAGGATGATACTCAGTAGGCACCTTCCTAACTTCCCCACACTTCTTTGGTAGGGTTTCCTTCCTTTCTGTTGTAACTCTTGGTACTAGTCATTGGGTCGCTGTGAAGATCAAAGCTAATATTGTCCCTGAGAGATCAAATGAGATCTCGTTTCTTCACTATTTAGCAAGAATTACCTTAATATAGTTCTTCATAGGTAGAATTCAAGAATAAATCCTATAATATACCAAAACTTTAGAATTGCATTTCTATTTACTTGAGAATCTGGAATATATATTTTTAATTACAGAAGAAGGCTTAATAAACAGTTATATTTATTATATATATATTGGGGGGAGGGATAGCTCAGTGGTTTGAGCTAAACCCAGGGTTGTGAGTTCAATCCTTGAGGGGACCACTTAGGGATCTGGGGCAAAATCAGTACTTGGTCTTGCTAGTGAAGGCAGGGGGCTGGACTTGATGACCTTTCAGGGTCCCTTCCAGTTCTAGGAGATAGGATATCTCCATATATTATTATTATTATTATATTCAGAGCACTGTGTGTTCCACAAGTACTAAATTTGCTGCAAAATTGTGTTATAGAATAAATCCAAGGTTGGTTGGTTGGCTTGTTTTAAGATTTCCCTTGCAGGGCTTGTCTACACTTGACTTCTTTCCCTAAAACTCTCCCCTGTCAGTATCACCGTGCAGCTCTCTACACCAGTAATAGCAATGGTGGGAGATAAAGGGTAGACAAGGGGACAGTGGCCACTTCAATTTTACAACATTATCCATGCCTGCTTTGATCCACAGAGTCCTGTGTGGATACAAATTTATATCCGCAGATGCAGATATCCGCAGATATAAATCGGTATCCACAGAACTGCAGGGCACTCCTGGAGACCGCAGCAGCAGAAGGAGCAGAATGTGGGGCCGCTGCTCCCAGCAGTCAGTGCCCCACTCCAGCAGCTTCTTCAGTGTGGCTGTACTGCCCCCAACCCCGCCCATTGGGGCGGGCATCAGGCCCACCAGCAGTTGTCCCTGGTCATGCTCTTGTGTTCAGGTGGTGTGCACGTCCCCAGACAGGAGACGCAGACAGCTGCATGGAAGGGATCGGGGTGGGATTGGGGCAGTATAGCCTCACTGGAGGAGCTGCCACCAAGGGTGCTGGCTCCTGGGAGCAGCAGCCCTGTGTTCTTCTGCTCCTTCTGCCACTGTTGTTCCCAGGAGAGCTCTGCGGTCCTGCAGATACCAATTTATATCCACGGATCTCTTCATACGCGGATATAAATTTGTATCCATGCAGGGCTCTACTGATCTAGTACCTTGCCTATGTTATAGCTACTTGCGTTAGCAACCTTGAGAAACTGTAGGGAAAATCTAGTGGAGATACAACTGTGGCTAACAACAAAAACCTTTCAAACAATATACCATATATGAACTTGACAATTTTTTTTCTGAGTCTACAGGCAGACTGAAATAATAGCAGTTCAAAGTGAAGCAAATTTCAGTATCAACTTTTACTGCATTACTGGTCACTTTAATGTGTTTATCTTGCACAAGTTTTTTTGTCCCCCATGTCTTTTCCAGTGCCAAAAATGCCAAATGTCCCCTTATGCCAAAAAATCAGCTTCCACCTGATTCTTATACAGTAACTCTTCACTTAATGTTGTAGTTATGTTCATGAAAAATGCAACTTTAAGTGAAACAATGTTAAACTAATCCAATTGTCCCATAAGATTTAATGTAAATGCGGGGGGTTAGGTTCCAAGGAAATTTTTTTGGAACAGACAAAAGGATTATACTGTATACTGTACAGTACTGTATTGTACGGTGATTGGGAAGTGCCCCTGGCTTACCCCACAGAGGCACAGCCCGCTGCAGGCAAGGATGCTAGGAAGCACCTTTGCTGCAGCAGCAATAGTGGCAGCTTCCCCGGAGAACAGGCTCGGATTTTGCTAGGAATGCTCCAGGCCCGCCTCTTCCTGTCCGCGCTCACTCCAGTCCTACCTCTTCCCACCCGCACTCCACCTCCTCTTGGGAGCACGCCACATTCCCCCTCCCCCCCGCCCTCAAAGTCCTAAGCGCTGCCAAACAGCTGTTTAGCGGTGCTTAGGACTTTCTGGGAGGGAGGGGGAGGAGTGGAGACACGGCGCTTCTCTGCTCTTCCTCCTCTCTTCCAGCACTTCGCGCTTAGGACTTTCTGGGAGGGAGGGGCAGGAGCGGGGAAGCCCTGTGTCTCCGCTGCTCCCCCTCCCTCCCAGAAAGTCCTAAGCTCTGCCAAACAGCTGCTTAGCGGCACTTAGGATTTTCTGGGAGGGAGGGGAAGGTGTGGAGACGTGGTCCTTCCCTGCTCCTCCCCCTCTCTCCCAGAAAGTCCTAAGCACCGCCAAAGTGGGAAGCGCTGGGAGAGAAGGGGAGGAGGTGGAGAAGCGGAACTTGTGCAATGCTCCCTTGTAAAGTCGCTGCTCTTCCACAGAATCTTACAAGCAGGCAGCCAAACGACGTTATAAGGGAGCATTGCACAACTTTAAACGAGCATGTTCCCTAATTGAGCAGGGACGTAACATTGAAACAGTGTTAAGTGGGATAACGTTAAATGAGGAATTACTGTATGTTATGCATTTTCAGAACAAAGTTTGAAGCACATTTAAAATTTAGGGACAGTATACAAGAAATTTAACTTAATATTGGATTAAATAATAGAAGGAACACTAGTTATATTCATTTTCATATTTAATTCAATTAAAAACTCAATTTTAAAATTTGTGTAGTGCCTTCATGTTGTTTTTCATTGTTAATTACCAACTTACTTGTTTAAATAAGACTAGATTTTTGTGGGAGGGGCAGAAGCTTTGCGTACCTGATACTTCTTCAGCAATTTGCATACTCGGCTTCCTTGCTTAAATTTCCTTTTGAATTACATAAACCTAATTTTATTACAGGAGAGATGGTAATATCACCATTAAGTATCTCAGGCATGTCACAACAGAGAAAAGATAGTCAAGAAGTTGTATCTCGCTTCCTGAGAGTGGAGAAGTCTCCAAATTCTGCTTTTGTGGCAGTTAAGTTAAAGCAGACTCCTAAAAAAGAGAGAACTGTACTGGAAGAGAAGGTGGAAATGAGTAATCCATTAGTAATGCCAGAAAAGCATATAACTGAGATGACAGTGGGAGCTAAAAGGCTTGCAAAGACTCCAAAGCAAAAGATGGAACCCGTCGAGGCTCTGTCGGGCGTCAAAAGGCTCTTGAGGACTCCAAAGCAAAAGATGGAACCCGTCGAGGCTCTGTCGGGCGTCAAAAGGCTCTTGAGGACTCCAAAGCAAAAGACCGAACCCATCGAGGCTCTGTCGGGTGTCAAAAGGCTCTTGAGGACTCCAAAGCAAAAGACGGAACCCATCGAGGCTCTCTCAGGCATCAAAAGGCTCTTGAGGACTCCAAAGCAAAAGACCAAACCTGTCGAGGTTCTTTCGGGCATCAAAAGGCTCTTGAGGACTCCGGAGCAGAAGACAGAACTTCTTACAGATGAAATTGCCTTAAAAAGATTACTAAAGACTCCAGCACAAAAAAAGCAAGTAGTAAATGATCTGGTGGGAGTCTCTTTTATGAAGACAACACGAAAGCAGAAATGTCAGTCAGTAGAAGACATGATAGGGATCAGCCATATGAAAACGTCTAAGCAGAGAATCCAATCAGAAGATACGGTAGGAATTAAAAGGCTATTGAAGACATCACATGAAAGAGTTGAACCAGTAGAAGACCTGTTTGGTATCAGCAGACTACTGAGGACACCAAGGGAAAAATATCTACCAGTTGATGACTTCGTGGGATTGCAAAAACTTATGGCTGAGCCTAAACAAAAATATTCAAGTTCTGAACTGGATTATGCTGGTGTTAAAGAAATTTTTGATACACCAAAGGAAATTAAGGTAAAAGATCTTGTTACGTTATTTTGGTAATTTTAATTTTAGTCAAATTCATAAATGTTAAGACTAGAGGATACCATAAGATGATCTATACCAGTGCTTCTCAAGCTATCTGATGTGGGGGGCCGGCATTTTTTTTTTCCAAGGTGCCATATTATTATTCTACTTGACGCTCTTATGAGGAAACTCATCGTGGACCTGCAGCCAATGGCTCACGGACCGGCACCGGTCCGTGGACCACCACTTTGAGAAGCACTGATCTATACTGCCTTCCTGGCTATAAAATTTCATCCAGTTTACCTCTGTGTTGAGCTCAATAACTTATTTGGCTGATGCATGCATTCCAGAAATAGTGCTAAATAAGTTATTGAGCACAACACAGGGGCAGTGGTGGATTCTCCATCTCTTGATATCTTCTAATTAAGAATCCATCACTTCCCTTGGTAGCTTGTGCCTGTGGTTAATTGTTTTCATTATTAAAATTTGTGCATTATTTCTAATTTGGATTTGTCTGGCTTCAGCTTCCAGCCATTGGTGAGTCTTATGTCTTTCTTTGCTAGATTAGAGTTCTTTAGTACACCTCTACCTTGATATAACTCTGTCCTCGGGAGCCAAAAAATCTTACTGCGTTATAGGTAAAACCACGTTCTATCAAACTTGCTTTGATCTGCCAGAGTGTGCAGCCCTGCCGCCCCCGGAGCGCCGCTTTACCGCGTTATATCCGAATTCGTGTTATATCGGGCAGCGTTATATCAGGGTAGTGGTGTACTTGAAATTTTCTTTCTGAGAACGTACTGTAATCAAATTGGCTTTCAACCATTTTTGATAAACTAAGCAGATTGAGCTCTTTAAGTCTCTCACTGCACCCTTTCCAATTTTTTAACATTATTTTTAAAACATGGACATCAAAATTGTATGTGGTTTCCCAGTACTGGTCTCACCAATGCTTTGTACAGAGGTAAGATCATTTCCCAACTCTTGCTCACTATTCCCCTGTTCATATGTTTAAGGATCACAGTAGCCCATTTTTGCCACAGTGTGGTACCGAGAACTCATGTTAGTTTGCCTTTCCTCTTTGACCTCCTAAATCCTTTTCAGAATTAGGGCTTTCCATGATACAATCCCCCATTCTGTAGATACGGCCTGCATTGCTTGTTTCCTGGGTGTGTAAATGGGACCAGTTTACCAGGTGATCCAGACCACTCTCTATGATGTCAACCTTGTCCTCCTGGTTATTTATCACTCAGTCAATTTTTGTGTCATATGCAAGTTTTATCAGCAATTATTTTATATTTAATTCTAGATCGGGGTAGGCAACCTATGGCACGCGTGCCAAAGGCAGCACACGAGCTGATTTTCAGTGGCACTCACACTACCTGGGCCCTGGCTGCCAGTTCACAGGGCTCTGCATTTTAATTTAATTTTAAATTAAGCTTGTTAAATATTTTAAAAACCTTATTTACTTTACATATAACAATAGTTTAGTTATATATTATAGACTTATAGAAAGAGACCTTCTCAAAACGTTAAAATGTATTACTGGCATGCGAAACCTTAAATTTAGAGTGAATAAATGAAGACTCGGCATACCACTTCTGAAAGGTTGCTAACCCCTGTTCTAGATCATTGATGAAAATGTTGAATAACATCAGGCCTAGCACCAATCCCTACAGAATCCTGCTATAAATACCCCCATTCGCTAACGATTCTCCATTGACAACTTACTTTTTTTTTTTTTTAGATCTGTCAGCTGGTTCTTATTCTATTTAATGTGCTTTATTGATATTGTATAGTGCTATTTTTTTTTCATCAGAATGTTGAGTGATACTAAGTCAAAAATGCCTTACAAAATTCTTAAGTATATTACTCTGACGGGTTAGATCACAGAAACCCCCTTGGGAGCTGCCACCTGATATACCAAGACTACCCCTGCTCCAGTTTTCCCTGCCAGCTCAGGACTCCAGCACCGTGTCTTGCTGAGCCAGACACTCCCGTCTGCTCCAACATAGACCCAGGGTCTGAATCACTTGTCCCAAAGCTGCAAGTTTACCTGAAAACAGCTAACAGAAGTCTGCTTGTCTTTAGCACTCAGATGCCCAACTCCCAATGTGGTCTAAACCCAAATAAATCCGTTTTACCCTGCATAAAGCTTATGCAGGGCAAACTCATAAATTGTTCGCCCTCTATAACACTGATAGAGAGATATGCACAGTTGTTTGCTCCCCCAGGTATTAATATATACTCCGAGTAAATTACTAAATAAAAAGTGATTTTATTAAATACAGACAGTAGGATTTAAGTGATTCTAAGTAGTAACAGACAGAACATAGTAAGTCACCAAGCAAAATAAAATAAAATGCGCAAATCTATGTCTAATCAAACTAAATACAGATAATCTCACCCTCAGAGATGTTTCAGTAAGTTTTTTCTCAGACTGGACACCTTCCAGGCCTGGACACAATTCTTTCCCCTGGTACAGCTCTTGTTCCAGCTCAGGTGGTAGCTAGGGGATTCTTCATGATGGCTCTTCCCCCCTTTGTTCTCTTCCACCCCTTTATATATCTTTTGCATAAGGCGGGAACCCTTTGTCCTTCTGGGTTTCCACCCCCCTTCACTGGAAAAGCACCAGGTTAAAGATGGTTTCAGAGTAGCAGCCGTGTTAGTCTGTATCTGCAAAAAGAACAGGAGTACTTGTGGCACCTTAGAGACTAACAAATGTATTAGAGCATAAACTTTCGTCATCCGAAGAAGTGGGCTGTAGTCCACGAAAGCTTATGCTCTAATAAATTTGTTAGTCTCTAAGGTGCCACAAGTACTCCTGTTCTTTTTTCAGATTAAAGATGGATTCCAGTTCAGGTGACATGATCACATGTCACTGCAAGACTTCATTGCCCACTTGCCAGCACACACACACATACAGGAAGGCTAACAGGTAAACACAGCCATCTGCAGACAATGGTCCTTGTTAATGGGAGTCATCAAGAGTGGTTTGAGCATTAGCCTGCTAAATTCAAGGTTGTGAGTTCAATCCTGGAGGAGGCCACTTAGGGATCTGGGGCAAAATCAGTACTTGGTCCTGCTAGTGAAGGCAGGGGGCTGGACTCAATGACCTTTCAAGGTCCCTTCCAGTTCTAGGAGATGAGATATCTCCATTCATCAAACCATCATTAATGGCCCACACTTTACATAATTACAATAGGCCCTCAGAGTTATGTTTTATATTTCTAGTTTTAGATACACGAGTGGTACATTTCTACAAATAGGATGATCACACTAAGTAGATTATGAGCTTTGTAATGATACCTTACAAGAGACCTTTTGCACGAAGCATATCCCAGTTGCATTATATTCACTTATTATCAAATCTTTATAAAACTATCCCAGTTACATTATATTCACTTATCATATTTTTATAAAACCATATAGACTGCACAACGTCACAATTACATCTAAACAATTACCCTTCTCAACCAAACTTGTAATCTCAAAAGTGGATGAAATCAGATTTGTTTGACAAGATCTGTTTTCCATAAAATCATGTTTACTGGACTTACTTGTATTTCTGTCCTTTAATTCTTTATCAGTTGAATCTCATTTCGGTTTTTTCATTATTTTGCCTGGGTTTGAAGTAAGGCTAACCAGCCTATAGTTACCTGGGTCATCCCGCCTGTCCTTTTTAAATATTGGCACTCGACCACTCTTCTGGACTTATGGAATTTCCCTATTTCAAGATTTATTAAAAATTATCATGAGCAGGCCAGAGATCTTCTCAGCTAAGCCTTCTAGGGCTCTTGAGTGCAAGTTACCGGGATCTGCCAATTTAAAAATATTTAGTCATAGCAGATGTTTTTTAACATCCTCCTTAGTTAGTAATGGGCCAGAAAGTAGCTCATCATCCTTATGTGATAAGAGTATATTGTCCTGCTTATTTCCAAATATAGAACAGAAATGTTAATACTTCCTGCCTTTTTTGCATCATTAATTGTTTTAACATCTCCTTCTAGTAGGGGGTCTATACTATTATTAGCATTTATTTTGTTCTTAATATACTTAAAATCTCCTTCTTGTCCTTAACCCTGACAGCCACAGATTTATTGATTATTTTTTAAATTTGTTAGGTCAAAGTTACAGATCTCATGCAAGAAAATAATTCTCTTCATATTGATCCTAAAAGTGAACGTGGTAAGTACAAATGTGTGCATTTTAATGTTATAATTTATAATGTATCTTAAATGTGTGTGTTTTTGAAAATTCCAGAATACACAGAAAATATTGAATTTAGTTTGTGCAGTGATAATTTTGAATACTTGCTGCTGGGAATTGGAATTTATGAATGTAGTATGCTGATAGTAACATCTGTAGATCCACCAGCATGAACATCCTGCTGTTAAACTTCATTTAAAATTCAATCTCTTTTGAAAGATTTCCAAAAGCATATTATTCCGTTAACACTATGTTGGTTCAAAACTGAGTTGAAGGTAAGAATGCTATCTATTGAATCACCCTATATTACCTTGTGCATTTAGCTGTTATTTTCTTATTGCTACTAAATACAACGGTACCCTTTTCTTAATGCAGGATCATCTTTCACATTTCATGACTTTGGGGCTTTTGTATGTAGCTTTAATATTGCCTTAATGTAGATTTTGCTAAATATATACAAATGAGATTAACAGGATTTTGTGCTGCGTATCCTTGAAAATCATTTGGCAGAAGAATCGGAAAAGAAAAAAAAAAAGGACATGAGATTCAGAGTCTTCAGCACTCTTGAGCATTCTTTGGGATTTGGTCAGTGTCTTTTCAGGATCCCAGGTCGCCTTTCTTCCAGCTCAGCCTTCTCTTCCTGGTTATGGTTTCTCCTCTCTAACTCTTTGCAGCAAACTCTCATCAACTTGGGCTGGTCAGAGAGTTGAAAGGTTCTCTCTAGCTCAGAAAACATGTCCCAGAATGAACCTCCCAACCTCACAGTTTTTAAAAGCCAGTTCTAACACCTCTCCTGTCCTGCTAGAGAATTTCCACTGCTGCAACCAGCCTCCCTGCAGACCGCCTGGAATAACTGGATTCTTACAGCCCAAGCACCCTCTTTAGTATACCCATTGTCCTTCCAGAGCACAGTCATTAAATGTTAATGACTTCTTTTGATTTTTCTGTATGGGAGAAGCCTTCCAGCCAAATGTGTGGTATATGACAATGTCATTGTCAGCCAATGGCTGATTTAATGCATGAGAGTTTGATTTTATGGATTCTATGTATAAAATTCTATCAGAATTCATAAGTTGTACAGAGAGAGATTCCCTAAATCATCATAGTAACCGTAATTATATCCTTTATCAATGGTTATTAAACAGTCATGAAATAATCATATCTAAAGTATCAAATGTATTCAAGTTTCTCTCATTCTAAAATATCAGTAGCCCAACCAATAAAATAACATTTGTTTCCTTTTACTGTGTAATCAAAAAGCATTCATTGTTGAATCCGTAGAAGTCACTCAAATATCTTATTTAGAATATTAAACATATGTTAACTTACCATTTTAATAAAATCAAATAGTCCTACCCTAACCTTAGAGGTAATTTTGATCAGGCATGTTGTGCAGTTATTTTACTAATTTTATTCTTGCTCCTTTTGTTCTGTGTTTTTAATGAAAAATGTTACTTGTTTTAGAATCCAGAGGAAATTATGAAAGAGAACTGAAGCAAGAGAAAAAAATGGAAGATTCACTTGAAAAAACATCACTCCCATTTGTGAGATCAAGGAATGGAAACATTAAAAATGAACAAGAATTGCAAGAAAGCCTTGAACATGCATGTATTTCACCTAAGGAGTCAGAAAGTGTGAAAAATATAGAAAATATTGAAAAAGAAAAAATGAGTAATGGCTCTCAGACACAGAGCCATAATCTCTCAAATTCAGTAATCTCTCTTTTACTTACCGAAATGGATCCAGTTCAAGAACCAGCTATGCAACTGCAAAGAGAATTAAACCAATATTTGAAAGATAGTGATGATAAAGAATTGCTTTTTGAAAATCCTGTTGCCCCACAATTAAATCTTATCCAGGAATCTATCGATTTGTCCAGTAAAGACAAAAAATCTACAAGGGCAAAACAGCAGAAAATAGAAATAAAAGAGAACCCCTCTTCACTAAGAGAATGTGAAGAAAATCTAAAGGAGAACGTAAATTTACTAGGATTACCAGTTCTGATGAAAGAGAGGATTGAAGACCAGAAGGAAGAGGCTGTTGCTTTCACTTCCGTAGTTAAAAATCTAGGAAGAAAAGAGAGAACAAATCAGTGTATGCAAGAAGAAATTATTTCAAAAATTCATGTTCACAAACAACTTGACAAAAATAAGGAAGCTGTTTCCTCAGTAGAAATAAATGGAACTTTTCATAGCTCCAGAAGAGGTAAAAGGAGTCTTGAGTCTCATGATAAAGATTCTTTAATGCTACAAAGAGAAACTACAAGTATGAAACAGAATTTGCAGACTGTGCATCAATCTGTCACAAACCATATTTTAATAATGGAAAATGATCAAAGTCTGAAGACAGCAAATGTATCTAGTAGCAGTAAAAATGTAAGAGGGCACCCTCTGCAAATAGGGCTTATAGCACCTGAAGATAAGTCTGATCAAGATAGTGTAAAAAATAATGAAAAGGTGGCTCTGTCAGTTAGGAAGAGGTCTAGAGGGGAGAAAAAATTAGAAATGCTAGAATCATTAGTTCCAGCTAAAAGAACCAGAAGAAGGAAAACTGAAGATAACAAACAGGGATTTACAGAGGAACATGATGCAAAAGAAAAACCCCAAAGACAGACAACAAGGAACGCTTGTAGAGCAGAAACAGCAAAGTGTATACAAACAGATGAACAGGATTTTGCCCACAGTATCATTGAGGCTGCTGCAGTAGAAGAATCTGAAATCAATAAACCAACCCTTGAAATTATGGTAACAGAGATGAAAGGAAGAAAATCTTTGAGAGTAAAATCTAGAAAGCAATTAGAGGAAACAGAGAAAGTAAGTACAGAGATGGGACCTGAAAGTGTAAGACCTGTCCAGGAAACCAAGGGAACATCAAAAGAAACTGTAGTTAAAACACACAAAGCTATAAAAAATGAGACAAAAGCGGTTCAGGGAACTAAGGAAGCAGAAACAGGTCAAAGCTTAAAGTTAAAGAAGTCACATTTTGAAAACACAAATGAAGCACCACTTGATGTTTATAGCTTGCAAGCAAACAGGAATTCAATAAAAAAAACTAATCAAAGACATGGAAATAAGAGAGGTCAAAAAGGTATATTGGACATTAAGGAAGGTGAATTTGCCAAAAATGAAAAAATGATACCACAAAATATACCAGAAACTGAACCAGAGACAATTTCTACAAAAGACTCTCTAGGATCTCTACAGACAGTGCAAAATTCCAAAACCAAGGAAGCCCAAAACAATCCAACTGCTGCAATGGTATATGGTCCTAAAGATGTTGAGAGAACTGTTCTTAGACATGGAAAGAGGATAAGGAAAGGTGATGGCAAACAGGAAGCATCTGAAACCAAACAAATTGAGATTTTAGAAAATAATCCTACAGAAGCAAATGAAAATACATCAAGAAGAGACAGAGAGAAAAAAGTTCATTTTGAACTTGAGGAAGCCAATTCTGCTTCTCTCAGAGGAAAACACATTTTACCTGAAGGTAATGATAAAGACCAAAATGAGACTTCAGAAAACATTCCTTCCCAAGCAAATGAAAATCTCTCAAGAAGGGGCAGAAGGAAAGAGGTTGATCTCACACCACATGCAGTTAGTTCCACTTCTCTTAGAGAAAAATACAGCTTGCCAGAAAGTGATGCCAAAAAAGAGGCTCCTAAAAAAGACCAAGATGCAGCTTTGGAATCTACTGCTTCCCCTACAAAAGAGAATACATCCAGAAGGGGCAGAAGGAAACAGGTTGATCATAAAGCGCTGGCAGCTAATTCCACTTCTTTTGGAGGAAAATGCAGCTTGCCAGGAGATAGCAGTAAAGAAGAGATGTCAGAAGATCAAAATGTGCCTTTGGAAGCTATTGTTTCTCCTACAAAAGAGAAGCTATCAAGAAGGGGCAGAAGGAACCAAGTTTCTCTCACATCTCAGGCAGCTAGTTGCACTTCTCTCAGAGGAAAAAGTAGCTTGACAGAAAACGATGATAAAGATGCGATTCCTAAAGAAGACCAAAACGTGCCTTTAGGAAGTACTACCTCCCAAGCAAAAGCTAATCCACCAAGAAAAGGCAGAAGGAAACAGGTTGATCTCACGACACAGGCAACTAGATCCACTTCTCTCCAAGGAAAAAGCAGCTTGCCAGAAAATGATGGTAAAGAGAAGACTCCTAAAGAAGACCAAAATGTGCCTTTGGAAAATATTACTTCCCAGGCATCAAAAAGGGGCAGAAGGAAACAGGTTGATCTCACGACACAGGCAGCTAGTTCCACTTCTCTCCGAGGCAAAAGCAGCTTGCCAGAAAATGATGGTAAAGAGAAGGTTCCTAAAGAAGACCCAAATGTGACTTTGGGAAATACTACCGAAGCAAAAGCTAATCCACCAAGAAAGGGCAGAAGGAAACAGGCTGATCTCACGACACCGGCAACTAGATCCACTTCTCTCCGAGGAAAAAGCAGCTTGCCAGAAAATGATAATAAAGAGAAGACTCCTAAAGAAAACCAAAATGTGCCTTTGGAAAATATTACCTCCCAGGCATCAAAAAGGGGCAGAAGGAAACAGGTTGATCTCATGACACAGGCAGCTAGTTCCACTTCTCTCAGAGGAAAAAGCAGCTTGCCAGAAAATGATGGTAAAGAGAAGGTTCCTAAAGAAGACCAAAATGTGCCTTTGGGAAATACTACCGAGGCAAAAGCTAATCCACCAAGAAAGGGCAGAAGGAAACAGGTTGATCTCATGACACAGGCAGCTAGTTCCACTTCTCTCCGAGGAAAAAGCAGCTTGCCAGAAAATGATAATAAAGAAAAGACTCCTAAAGAAGACCAAAATGTGCCTTTGGAAAATATTACTTCCCAGGCATCAAAAAGGGGCAGAAGGAAACAGGTTGATCTCACATCTCAAGCAACTAATTCCACTTCTCTCAGGGGAAAACGTCACTTGCCAGAGGATGAAAAGGCAGCCAAAAAATTAAAATCAGGTATGGCAATGATTTATTTTCAGTTACCTAATATAATTGTTTAATTTTTGAAGGTGGGTGAATGCAAACTATTGCATGTTTTAGATAAGGAAGTACTTTATTCTTGATCTTGCATGCAATGGTGGGAGGGATACCTCAGTGGTTTGAGCATCGGCCTGCTAAACCAAGGGTTGCGAGTTCAATCCTTGAGGGTGCCACTTAGGGATCTGGGGCAAAAATCAGTACTTGGTCCTGCTAGTGAAGGCAGGGGCTGGACTCAATGACCTTTCGGGGTCCCTTCCAGTTCTATGGTATAGGTATATCTCCATAAACTTAATGTTGTGAATAAAAGTGATAAAATGTACATTACTGTAGGTCCCAATACTTCAATCTTAAAAGTTCGTTGCCACAGGGACACTTAGTACATGTTTGTATAGCACCTAGCACCTTTGTTACTCTAAATCTGAAGTCCTCAAAATTTTTCATATTATGAATCACCTTCCCCTCAATCTATTTGCAATTGTACATCATCTCTGTTGCAATTACAACAATTGTTAACATGAAAAAATATTAGGAAAATATTTAGTTAATGTTTTCAATGTGATATGTTGTCAATTGTAAAAGATCACCATCTTTTTCACCTTCATTTAATCTTCCCCACTTATGTATGTTCCTTCTCATCCTTCTCCTCTGCCTGGTCCCCTCTTCCCCTGTATATGCTTTTTTGCTGTCTGATCCTCCAATCCCATGCTCATGCTACCCTCCCCCTTTTTTCCCTTTACATTTGCTCTTTTGTCTTGTTCCTTTTTCTCATTCTTTTCTCCTGCCTTCTTGTTCCCTTGCTTGCTCCCTGCTCCTGCTATACATGCTTGCTTTGGTGCCTGATCTTCTGCTGCACTAGGTACCTGATTCCTTTCTCGCCGTTCTTCTGGACAACGTTCTTCTGGGGGTCATCTTTCCACCAAGCAGTTTTTGACGGTAACTACCATCTCTGGTGCCATTAGTGACTTTTTTCTGGGATCAGCACCTGTTTCCTCTGGTTTTGAGATTCCTATGCAGGTGTCTAGTCTTTTCTTTACAATGAAGAGCCTGACCTGCCTGCTCTTTGTGGACCCAGAACCACTGCTGTATATTCTAATGCAGGGTTTTCCTTGATTTAATATTTTTATTGTTTTTAGTTTTACATATGAGTTTAAAAAAAAATCAGTAAAATAAAGTACCAAATTGGGTTTATGGTATAATTTTGGGACTAATACTGCACAAAGGCCCAAGAATCAAGTGCAGCCAGTTATTTTGGTTGGAACCTCAGCCTTTAGTAAAAGGCTTAAACCCACAAGGCAGCAGGAATGTTGGCAGTACGCTTACTGAATGGTGGCCTGCATTCACCATGTCACAGCACTATCTTTGGACATTTATGGTGATTTATAAATGTCATCTGCTGCTCCACCATAGCCTTTTAGTACAGTCATCAAATCGTCCATGACTGCTTATTCAACAGGCTTCCCTGCATATATCACAGCTAACCACCGTATCTGAAGTCCATTTGTACAGAATGGACTACCATGGTTGCAAAATGCCACATAAGAAAAAAAATTAGGTTTGGTGCACTAATTAATGTTAATCTGGTTTCAGAAATAGCTGAGAGCCTTCAGGGATCTATTTTAAAGGATGCTGGTTGTGCAGAAATGCAGTTTCATAACTGGTTTGTTGTATTCCTGGGTATTGTCTCTGGGATATATTTATTAGGGATATTTTTCTTTAAAACAGCATAGCTTGAAGATTTGAATTTCAGCTAAAAAGTTTGATTTATTATCCAAATTTACAATTAATTTTTTTTTTTTTTTTACTAAACAGAGTGTGTTGAAAGTATAACTCTGCAGAAAGAAACAAGAAACAAAACTAAAGGAGAACTTGGCAAAGGTGGTATTAGCATGATTCAGAGTGCTGGAGGAACAGAAAGGAAAACAAGAGCAAGTGCAAGAACAAGAAAATAACCTCTTTAATAGTTGTAGAGCCAGTTTTGAATATTTTTCAGTATTTGATTTTGCAGTTTTTTTACGTAAATGGATGAGCACTTAGATTTGATAGAGTTGTAAAGCATTCAGTGAATTTAGGTATAATGGAGATATGTTTATCTGTTTATATAAGTAGAAGAGATACCTCTTTTAATGGCATAATTCAGGCAAATATATTTGCTTTCCAAACTGTTGTGAGCTTGTGCAAAATTACAGCAACCAAAAAAATTTCTGTGCCAACATTGATGCCTCCTTTCATTGATGATCATTTCAGAGGTCTGGAAGTTGTATTACTTTGCTGAATCTGCCCATATGTAATTGTATGTTATTATCTAGTTAGCTTAATTTTGGGATACTGAAGTTTTATTTTTTCATGAAAGTTCTGTAAATATCCTTTTTAAAAAGTCTACAGGTTTTTATTGGCAAAACTATTATGTGGGAATTCTGATTTAACAGCTTAAATTGACTACTGCAAAAAAATGCGAATAGATTTTTATAAGAGTTAATAAATTTTGTAAATGTTAATTAGATGTGTGATTTTATTTTGTGATTTAAGCATACTTTTAGGAAACTCAAGATTTATGTATAATTACTATTTTTTCTCACAAGCACAGTGTCAGCGTTATTCCCCCATTCCTCTAAATGACCCAGCAGGTTTATGGAAGCATGTCTTATATATGATGGGTCTCCTAGAATATTGGTTGTCCCCTAGTTTGTGGGGCAAGACTGCTCTTTGCTCTGCAGCAGGTCCAATTGTACATGATTGCTAACACCAGACAGCCTGCAAAACTAACTGGACAAACAGTGGGCATCTTAAAGCAATGGGGCTGCTCTTTCCCCAACTCCTCCTTTTCAAAGGAGTGTTGTTCTGTGTTTTGTATGCAGTTATTTTAATATAACATCATCCAAGTGTTTTCAGCATCCAACGACCATGTAGATATGTACACACTAACTAAAGACTATTATTCTTAAATAATGGAGTCTCTGTTACTTGTAAATAGCACATTGCATGAATAATTCAAAATGTTAGCTATATTTTTTGAAACTATAAGATAGTATATATTCTCCCTGCCATTTATTTGTGTTTAAGAGCCTAATCCTGCTCTATTGAAGTTGATGCCATAAATGTCCCGTTGACTACAATGGTGGAGGACAAGATACAAGTCAACTTCTTCTACCACATATTTACATCTGTTAAGTGAGGTTTTAAGCCAGTTTTCAAAAAGAAACCAGTATTTTAAATGTGTTTTTTCTATGAGGAGCTGAGTCCTGAAATTTTTTAAACATTGAACCTTTTCTACGCTATCATTTTCCATTATTACATGACCACTAGCACAGCTCCACTGGTGTTAACATTGATGGGACCATTAATGTGGACAGCCTGCTGCTCACATTGCAACCATTGTGCCACCAGATCTGTTCCAAGCAGAGTTGGGGCTTGTCTTCACATACAGCTGTGCCATTCTGGTGCTTTAGTGAAGATGCTTCTATGCCAAAGGGAATAGTTAATCCACTCTTCCGTCAACATAGCGCTATCTACACGGGGGTTAGGTCAGTATAACTACATTGTCATGGGTGTGGATTTTTCACACCCGTGAGCAATGTAGTTATACTGATACACGTCTGTACTGTAGACGTGGCCTTAGATGACAAACGATTTAAAACACTGGCAGCTCTCCCACTGTTGCTACTGCTGGTGGAGCTGGAGTAGAGAGATTAAGAAAAATACTAGTCTACACACAACTTAAATTTATTCCAAACTCATTTACAGGAATATATGGAGTTGTGGTTTTCTAAAACATAGACAATTAAAAAGCAATGTGTTTAGCTGGGAGTGAGAATTTTAAAATTCTTTAAAAAAAATACTGAAGGCAAACTGCATTTTAATATTTCAAAGGTTGTGTTTTGGGGGGCTTTTTTTGTGCATAACTTGTACTATGAAGCCCAACTATCCACTTCTTTAATATAGTGACCCCTCTCCTATGCCTTTTTGCCTCAGTACTGCACAAGGCCAAGAGTTGCAAAGATCCCCTTCATCAAGTAGTGTCCCTATGGGTGCTTCACTGTAGGAGTTTCTGCGTCCCTCCACTGCTGATCATAGAACTTCTGTAGCAGTGTCTATGGGGCCCTCACATGGGTTGTCTCTCCTTGTACTGTGCCATGAGGCCAGCCAGTGCACACGGGATAACCGCCTTCAGTTCTTCTTAACCGCCCCGGATAGAGACGGGGCCTTTAGCTGTCCGTTAGCGCATTGTTAACTTTCCTTTTCATTTGTTAATCGTTAGCTTTTAGAAACCTTTTAGCTTTCTTCTGACTCTTTATTTGGCTGTGCCTAATAAAAAAAATATAGAGAGAAAAGACTTTGTTCTTGTGTTGACCCCCAATGGCGGGAACCCACGTGGAAAAGGATATTCCTGGTTCTCTGGACTTCAAGAAGTATCTCACTTTCAGCAAGGTAATCCTGGTTGTGGACAAGCACTCCCAGTGCTTTTGCTTTCTTGGCAAGGACCATATCCAACAAAAGTGTTCCCTCTGTCAGCAGTTCTGACTTAGATCCCACAAAAACAACTTCGCCAGAAAATCATCTTTATGGAGACAGCTCTCCATAAATTCCATTGTGTACGCTGTGAACTCTCATGGCTGACAGCACCACTCTAAGGCTAGGTCTACACTACGGGGGGAGAGGTCCACCTAAGATACGCAACTTCAGCTATGTGAATAGCATAGCTGAAGTTGCGTATTTTAGGTCGACTTACCTGGCTGTGAGGACGGCAGCAAGTCGACCACTGCCACGCCGCCATCAACTCTGCTTCCGCCTCTTGATGCGGTGGATTTCTGGAGTCGATGGCAGAGCCATCGAGGATTTATTTTATCGCGTCTTCACTAGAGGCGATAAGTTGATCCCCAATAGCTCGATTGCTACCCGCCGATCCGGCGGGTAGTGAAGACGTGCCCTTAGACAACACCCTATGACAGACTGGAAGCACCTTGATCTCTTTGGTAGGAAGGCCTACTCCTCAGCCACTTTACAGTTTCGAATTGTTAATTACTAGGCACTTGTGGCAAAGTCCAACTACATTAATTATAATAAATGACACGACTTTATTGATAAACTGCTGGAGAGCTCTTGGGACTTCTTCAAGGTCATCATCCAGGAAGGGCAGCTGGTAGCAAAAACATCTTTTCAATTGGCCCTTGATGCAGCTGACATGGCTGCAAGGACCACCTCCACTGCTGTGGTGATAAGACGGGCGTCGTGGCTTCACCTCTCAGGATTCCTGAAGGAGGTTTAGACCACAGTGGAGGATTTCTCCTTTGAGGGTTTCAAGCTCTTCGCTGAGAAGACTGACGCCTCCCTCCACTCCTTGAAGGAATGCAGGGCCACTCTCAGGTCACTGGGAATCTATACATCAGGGCAAAAGAGACATTTTAGCCCTCAATACCAATAGAGACCTTATTCATCCCAATTCCCCTCACAATGGCACTATCTGCCCCAAAGGAATAAAGGGAAATTCCCAAAATGGAAGCCTTTGGGCTCCCAGTTTTAGACTCAACCACCTGCCCCTAAGCACTACTTTTGATGGGCAGGTTGAGGTGTCATGAGACCTCTCCTTAATACTACCTACACTCACGCACCCATTTGGCCACTATTTGGCAATGTTCCACAGTGCTTGGAATAATGGCTGATAGATGGGTCCTAAGAGATTGTCAGATCTTGGAGGTTTTTAAGGCCCGGCTTGACAAAGCCTTGGCTGGGATGATTTAGCTGGGAATTGGTCCTGCTTTGAGCAGGGGGTTGGACTAGATGACCTCTTGAGGTCCCTTCCAACTCTGATATTCTATGATTCTATGATTCACATGAGTGATCCATCCAGCTGGATGTCATACACCTCATTTTCTAAAGATGGGGGTTTCCCCAGTTGACCTGTTTGCCACCCGATGCAAAAGGAAGTGCCCAATGTTCTGCTTCTTCCAGGGTCACATCCCAGGTGGACTCATGGATGCATTCCTGCTACTCTGGAGAGGTCGCCTGCTCTACGCCTTTCCCCCTTCCTTGTGCACAAGGCCTGCAGAGATGGGGAAAAGAATTCTGATAGCGCCAGCGTGGCCTTGACAACACTGGTACACTATGCCACTGGAGCGGTCGGTGGACACACCAGTTATGTTACCTCTCCTCCGCAACTTACTCAATCAGGACCATGGTCGCCTCCATCACTCTGACCTGGGGTCCCTCCACCTCACGGCTTGGAAGCTTTGTGGCTGAACCCCATGGAACTTCTGTGCTCAAAACAAGTAAGGGAGGTCCTCCTTGGCAGCAGGAAGCCCTAGTAGAGCTGGCAAAGTGGAAGAGATCCTTGTGCTGGTGTGACCACCTCCAAGCGCCTGTACCTCTCATCTTGGAGTACCTCCTACACCTGAAAGAGCAAGTCCTGGCGGCGTCCTCCATAAGGGTACACCTCGCTGCTATCTCGGCCTTCCACCCAGGCGTCTGGTCTATCCATCTTCGCCAACCCTATGGTTGGTCGCTTCCTCAAAGATCTGGACCTCCTACATCCCCAGATCAGGCAGCCTGTCCCTGCGTGGGACCTTAACCTGGTCCTCTCCAGGCTCATGGGGCCCCCATTCAAACCACTGGCCGTTTGCTTCCTCCTTTATCTGTGATGGAAGGTAGCTTTCCAGGTCGCCATTACTTCTGTGAGGAGGGTGTCTGAACTAAAGGCCCTCACCTCTGATCCCCCTTACACGGTTTTCCACAGGATAAAGTGCAGCTCAGCCCGCACCTGGCCTTTCTCCCGAAGGTGGTGTTGCACTTCCACACCAACCATTACATTTTCCTACCTGTCTTTTACCCTAAGCCTCATGCCAGTAACCGGGAGCAGAAGCTGTACTCCCTTGATGTTCAGTGAGCACTAGCTTTCTACATTGAGCTCACTAAGACGTTCAGAAAATTGAACCAGTTCATAGCAGTGGCAGACCTGATGAAAGGGCTCCCGGTCTCATCTCAAAGAATATTCTTCTGGATCATGTCATGCATCCACATGTTATGAGCTGGTCAAAGTACCGGCCCCGGCTCTTACAGCACACTCCATGAGGGTCCATGCCTCGTCAGCAGTGTTCTTGGCCCAGGTCCCAATCCAAGAAATCTGCAGGGCAGCAACTTGGTCCTGGGTGCATACCTTCACCTCTCACGCCATTGTCCGGCACACTAGAAATGACGCAGCTTTCAGCAGAGTGGTGCTACAATCAGCGTTTCCTTAACTCCAACCCCACTGCCTAGGTAAGGCTTGGGAGTCACCTGATTGGAATCAATATGAGCAACCACTGGAAGAAGAAAAAACGGTTACTCACCTTGTGTAACTGTTCTTCAAGATGTGTTGCTCATATCCATTCCAAACCCGCCTTCCCCTCTGTCAGAGTAACCGGCAAGAAGGAACTGAGGAGGCGCCGGGTCGGCAGAGTCGTATACTGAGCACCATGAAGGCAAGACTCCAGGGGGCTCCACAGCCGACCTGACAGGTGCTGCT